CTCAAACTTACTCTCAAAATTAGAAAACATGGTACAATTATGTATTCATGTGTCCGCAAAAAAGTGACAAGCATGTGTGAAGTCAAACGTACTGTTACGAGCTTGGGGTTCGAGACAATTAAAAACTGCCGTTTGAATTACCATAATTGACATTTTAATCACAGAACACTAATTACAACCTAAAACCACACTAATAATAAAACACAATTGTACCTACTACTGGTTACTTTAGTTCGCAGTTATTTCGCTTCGAAGTATTCGCTCGTATCGCCAATTCAATACTGGCTCGGTCACGGTCTATACCGGCCTTGTATAGGGCCTCAGGTACTTTCCAGAACCTTCTACTATAGAAACATCTAGAACGTTCGAGTACATATCGGTCCCGATATTTCTAGAAGGATCTCGACTTTCCTAGTTCTGCTGCTCGATACTAGAGGGCGCTAGTGGTAACTAGTGTTGCCATGTACAAGACATTAATAGGGGCGCGCAACAGTGCCCCCTCTTAAGACATGCTCTTCCCGCGCATTATTGGCCCCATAATAACGCGCCAGTCCCCGCCAGTTTCCCTGCTGCTGTTGGGCGATGCTGTTAGCCGCACTACCCTCTCGAGATCGGTCCCTTTCTACAGTTCGCTTAGGGCATCTAGATCGAAGATGGCCCCTTTCCCCACAGCCGTAGCACCTAGGGTTGTACCCTTTATTGCGGTCGCGAACTGTAGCTGCTGCAACCTCCCTGACGCGATGGGAACGATGATCCTGCCGCACGGCTTCCACCTCCAGTGCATGGGCCAACGCGTCCTTAAGCGTCTCGTGGTGCCCGAGCCTCACAGCAGTTCTGACTTCAAGGTCGCGGATGCCGTCGATGAATGTCTGCACCAGGTTCCCTACAATGAGCGCAGGTACAGACTGGTATGCTTTTCGAACCAGCTTATCCATCCAGGGCCCGCTGCTGCAGGTTTTAGTTGCTGCGATGCACGCGATCTTTGAGCTGCGCACGAAAGACGTGTTCCAGGTGGGCGTCGCCATATCTCACCTCTAATTCATCAAGGAGCTGCTCGTAAGTCACTTCCATACCGAGAGCTTCTAGAACAGTTAAGGCCTGGTAACGCAGGCCTAGGGTAAGAGCAGTCATGGCCTGACTTTTATTCCAACCGTTCGCCATCATGACAGCCTCGAACTGGATTTTGTAGGCCGACCAGGAAGAAGTCCCGTCGAACGGTGGCATTTTGAATCCACGTACCAAAGGCGTTGTAGCTACCACTGGAGCTGTAATTCCATCCCCAAGTTTGAGGTCGTCCAGTCTTTTCTTCACGTCAGCCATCACGTTGTCAACCTGTTTGTTCACTTGGTTGATTCGGGTTTCAGCTTCCGACAGGCGGTTTTCATGTTGAGCAACCTTATCCTTCACCTCCCTTATCTCTTTCCCGAAGGTAGCGTGAAGGTCCTTCATGAGAAGCATCTGCTCTTCCATACCGCGCTGCAGATGCAGAAGCTGCTGACGCGCGCTTCCAACCGACGGACCTGTTCCTCCCGTTAGTGGGCCTGTTCCTCCTGTCGGCGGGCCTACTCTTGCAGCATCAATATCAGAGCCCCTAAGTCAGGTGCTGCAGATGCAGAAGCTGCTGACGAGCCGGCCTCCATGATCGGCAGCTGCCCCTCTGACGTTTGCGGCGTTGCATTACCAAATCGTCTCTGGTCCGTCTCCAGCTGGCGTTGACTTCGGGTACGGATACCCTCCGTGTCGTCTTTAGGTAAAATCGGCATGATTTGCTCCCACTTCTGAAACCAATAGTTACGAGCTTGGGGTTCGAGACAATTAAAAACTGCCGATTGAATTACCAAAATTGACACTTTAATCACAGAACACTAATTACAACTTAAAACCACACTAATAATAAAACACAATTGTACTACTGATCACTTTAGTTCGTATTTATTTCGCTTCCAAGTATTCGCTTGTATCGCCAATTCAATACTGTCTCGGTCGCGGTCTATACCGGCCTTATATAGGACCTCAGGTAGTTTCCAGAACCTTCTACTATAGAAACATCTAGAATGTTCGAGTACATATCGGTCCCAATATTTCTAGAAAAATCTTGACTTTCCTAGTTCTGCTACTCGATACTAGACATTAATAGTGGCGCGCAACAGTACTTTGCTATCTTACTATAAAAAAAATTACTAAACTAAACTTACTTATAGTTTGTAGTACGATGCATAAGTAGGTCAAGTGCGTACTTGTACATACACATAGAGATCAGTAGTGTACACCAACGTAAGAGCGTTGCTTCGCATACGTTGGGTACGTGGGACCAGTGCGTCCCATCCCGTTGTCTAATCATGTCAATCTAATGTCCCGTTGTCTCTTAAGCTATCTTCAAAATCTCCCAAAAACTTCGCAACGTGACGCATTAGCACAGTTGTGAAAAAAATACGTCAGACTACGCTGTATGGGCATAGATACCTTTGCCTTTAAATAAAAACAACAGACGTTTTATTTTTTATTTTTTTGGGTTTATGGCCTGGTATCTAGACCTTTAGGCCAAGTCTTAAGTATTTTTATTCGGTTTATTGTAATTTCCCCACTCCTTCATAGTATACTGCTTCACAATATGTTGATGCGTCACATTGTGCAGTTCTTGGGAGATTTTGGCGGCAACTTGATCCAGCAGACAGCTGATAGTTGGCGATGGTATCTAAAGGTGCCTATGCAAACAAACAGCTTATCTTGAGAATCCATCACCATCAGAGCACTTGTTTCACTGTTTCCACTAATAGTTCACATGCGTAGACACTTAATACACAAAATCGCAACACTTTTACATATCAAAGTCCACTTCAAACCATTATTTAAACAATAATACAGGAGCAGCAAACCGCCACCGGTCAATTTCCCGCCAAAACTCTATTTATTTTATTTTATTTTATTTGGTAGTGTTGCCGACTAAATAGATTTTCCCCACAGACATTGATTTTCTCCAGTAGTTAATAATGGCGGAAAATACATTTCAACGGCTAGGCATATTTTGTGGCAGGTTCATTATAAGATGTGAAAGTTAATGAATTTTTGTACGTTGGTAGGTAGCAATTTAATGTAGAAATTTTGCATGTTGTCGCATTTTTGAAACTTACTTACATTTTACATTTTAAGGGTGAAAGAATAACGACTGTGACTTGAATCACGTCGATACAATGCTTATACAAAGAAATGGCAAAACATGGCATTCGTACGATTTATCATTTTATCCTAGCTTAGCAGATACGCTTACGCTTTTTTGAATTCTTACATATCAACAGAGTATAGCTATTCCCATAAGCTTTGTTGTTCCGTATAATGCTTTATTTTATAAAAAAAAAATTCAATCTTTAAGTGAAATCAAGCGCTTTTTATGTGTATTTAACGGATCTACCGCTTTTCGTATCGCTGTTATAGACAGAGACGCAGAGCCAATAAAAAGTCTGAATTTATTAAGCCTGGTTTTTTCTGAGGTGATTATAATCATAATTTGCAATAAAATGCTAAGGTCAGTCAAGCAAATATTAGAACAGGTATCTCAGGTGCGCGGTCAAACATGTCGTGACCATCGACATAATAAAATCAATTTCTTAAGGCTAAAACTTTATGAACTTTTGTTTTATTTTATATGTAAATCAAAATTATGATAGTCAGTCAACGTCCTATGGGGACGCAGCTGGTCAGTCAGCTGTAATGTACATACGTAGCGAGACTCAGAAGTGTCTTATTAAAATAAATGTCGTACATTAAATGATTATCATTTTAAGTAAATTATAAATAAAAAACGAGTTGCCGGATGCAACGTCCACAGAGAGCGAAAAAATTTAATTTCTTATTCACTGACTGACGGGCGTTGTTATACGGAATCGTTGACTGACCATTTTATTTATTAATAATATAGTCAGTAGTAGTTACTACAAAAATTCACGCTTAATAAACGAATTTCACCCTTATAAACCTCGCTAAAACCAGGCTTAATAAATTCAGACTTTTTTTGGCTCTGCCTCCTGGACTATTAGCGCTGAATGGATTTTGTGATCTGACCGCACTGAATTGTCGACGACCGAGCCCTTTCCGATCGGCTCGATTCATTGGCACTGCGAAGAGATGTTGCATCCCTTTGCATTTTCTTTCGCATCTACCATGGGGAGTGCTCTGAGGAATTGTTCGGATTAATCCCAGCCGCCAAATTTCACGAACGCACATCGCGGCAGAACTCCCGATACCATCCACACCATCTGGATGATTGGCGGTCCTCCACTGTGCGATTTAGAAGATGTTTTCTTCCTCGCACGACCTCCTTGTGGAATCGATTACCATCAGCGATTTTTCCGGACCGATACGACTTAGGGACCTTCAAGAAAAGAGCGTACTCCTTTTTAAAAGGCCGGCAACGCATCTGCGATTCCCCTGGTGTTGCAGTTGTTCATGGGCGGCGGTAGTCACTTACCATCAGGTGAGCCGCATGCTCGTTTGCCCCCTCTCCTATAAAAAAAAAAAATAAGCTCAACCATTGATCACTAATAAAAAAAACTAGATACACTGATTGTGACAAAAACTGTCCTTATCGAATGAGCCCACTCGAACATTTGGGTGCGCTTTTAATTTGTACGTAACTTTATGAATACAATTTTAGGCAATGAAATTAAGGTAGAATTTACATTAATGTATATTTATTTCAACTAGAATTATGTCAAAACAATTGGCGACAGTTTTTAGAGAACTTTTGCATGGGATTGCGTATCTAGTTTTTTATTAGTGATCGATGAGCTCAACGGAATTTTAAATTTATTGTTGACAACACTGGTTGTTAATTTTAAATTTATTGTTGACAACACTGGTTGTTAATTGTTTGTAGCTTGCTACATATATATTTATCTATGATTGTTTGTAATTTATTTGCATCGAGGCTTGCTTGATATTTCATTTTATTTCTAATTAGATAGATTTAAAGACAGAAAAGAACTGAAATTGTTAAAGAAAAAATGGCAATTGTAACTGAAGAACTGTCATATTGTGGACAAGACCCTGGAGCCGCAAAATTTGGAAATTTTATTAATTATTACAGCTTCCACGAAGCAAATCAAAGAATACAAAATCTTCACACTTCAATGTTTCCCAAACTTACTGTTAGCGAGGATATTGTTTGTTTGGATATTGGATGTAATACAGGAGAACTTACTAAAGAAGTATATGACTACCTAAAATATATTTATCCAAAGTCTAAAATTAATTTCCTTGGTATAGACATTGACCCAGTTTTGATACAAAGAGCTCAAGAGCATACAAACATCAATAACATTACATTTATAACATTAAACATTACAAATAAGCAAGACCAAGACATAGTGCAAAGATATCTTAATTCCCACAATAAAACTAAGTTTGATATTGTGTTTTGCTTCTCTGTAACAATGTGGATACATCTAAATAATGGTGATGAAAAGTTTCTGGACTTCTTAAAATACATTACCAAATATGCAAAAACAATTATAATAGAACCGCAACCTTGGAAATGTTACCGTAATGCTCAAAGAAGATTGAAGAAATCTGGTAGTTACTTTCCTTTATATGAGTCACTTAAACTCAGGAGTAGTGTTGAGACAGTTATAGAGAATACTATTACAAGTTATGGGTTTACAAAAGTGTACGAGTCTCTTCCATCTAAATGGAATCGAAAAATTCTAAGTTTTCTTATAAGATAATAAGAAATTAAAACTCAATACAAAACATATATTTATATATATATTTCTTTATACTGTACAAGCATTTCTTTTCTATGTTGTTACTTCTTCAGTGCTAGACTCAAATTCTAATTTAATATTTTTACCTAATCCCTCTACATCCATCTCAGATTCTTGTGCATTAAGCATGTTCAATGTTACCTGCAAATTAATAACATTTCCCATTACTTCACAAAAAATAATTGAATACTACAACAAATTATGACTTTTGCTAGTAGGTATTTAAAAATAAGATACATTAATAATTTTTCTTGCTGCTATTTCTTATTTCCTCCATGGTGTCAGTCTAGATTAATACCTTACTTTACCTATTTCCGAAGCGAAGAAGCAGTGCAACCATTGACATGTTGCAGTTTGAAAGACATGAGAGCCAGTGTAAATACTAACTGTGAGGCATTACACCTTAGTTCTAAGGGGTGACAATGAATCTGTGACCTTTTAAATTGGTTAAAGGTATTTGTGAGCTGCAGAAGTCACCATCAGGTTGATTTTAAACTCATTTGTCACTCTAATACCACAAAAAAATATTCAAAGCGAACTTGAAATCATTATTTAAATAATTCTTCTGTATGTGTTTGTCACTGAACTTCTAAATGGCTGGACCAATTATGATAAAAAAAAATTGTGTGCGTTTGAGTAGGTCCCAGGATGGTTTAGATTCACAACTGGACTGATAGGTGGTTGTTGAGATTCAGAAATCACCCGTGCAAAACTGGGGATTACTAGTACTTTTATAAAAACCTTTACCTCTCCTATTCTCTTTAATACAATATGAGGAATGCCTTATGAAAGACTGAATAAAAATATTTACCTGTCCAGCATTATTGCTTACACTTGCTAATCTTTCCTCAGCAACCTTTCTTTTCACTGGTGTTTTTGCTTGTGAACTAGAAACAGTACAAATAATACTAAAAAATTATGTCTTTGCTCTAATTTTCATACTACTAAATATAATGCAATCAATTAAAAATCAGAACTGTGTATCAATTGCTGTGGTGATTTCAGCATTTAAGCATCTGACTGATTGAAAACACAACTAAAAAGCGTAATTGGCCTTGTCATAGTCCAATGGGGTAGTAATCCAACACGACCGGAGGCAAATCAGTCACAGGACCAATGGCTTTACCTGCTTTCCACAGTATGGTGGTGAAACACTGTCAAATTCCTGACTATGGGCTAATACTGAGTATTTCTTGACAGAAAACCCCAATAAACAACCATAACAAAATTTACAACAGTGATAGATCCAAGCGGTAGCTTTTGCTGTTGTACGGATGGGCCGGCTTAAGGTGACACTAGTCGACATTATTTCCATAGAAATTTCGGAGGGGTTTTACTCCGCTGTTTGACAGTGTACATCCAAAATTAAACATGATATCGTTTTGTCTCATTATTAAATTTGTCTGTACGGAAACAGAATAGTAAAATAAAATGTTATTAAAAAGTTACGAGCTACCAAAGATTCGTTTTTATTGCCAATTTTAACACAACTTTGGGCGTAAATTAGTAATAAAAGAAGTGAAAAATTTCCAAAACAAAGTCGGTACCGACACAACTCAATTATCGAAGAACTCAATAAATTTTATTTGTAATTGATTAATGCAGTGGTTTTTTCATAAAACCCCTTCTTCCAAAGGCCTTTTCGTATTTTTTTACGCGCGCATGTTACTATGAATTATCGTGCATCTCACTGAATAATGTCTCCCCCGGTGCGGTGCGGGAGGACGATGCTTACACACACATGCACAGGCGGTGACGTGCGCTTATATTCGAGTTTTATTCGAAACGAAAAGTTTTGCTATTTTGTAATTTGGACGCCAAAGACAAAAGACGGCATGGAAATTGATATAATTGAAAGAGATGATGCGTTTTGGACGACAGACAATATTTTAAAATTTTCGTCTGTAATATAACAAAATTATAAAAGTAAAAAAAGTAAAGTCTATATTCGATTACTATATAAAATTGCAACAATTTCATTGGTGCCGACGGGGATCGAACCCGTGTTGCTCGCGTAATGTGATACTTACACCGAGCGCTAATCATCTGAGCTACCACGGCTCTCAATGCAAGTGTTATAAATAAATAAAGAATTACAAAACAGTTTAATTATTTATTAGACGACTTTTGCGGCGGACAAACAAAGTATATTATGTGGGATTTTCATAGGTACCTAATGTTATTACCTAGATACCTACAATCTACAGTACAACAAAATGTCACAAAACCTCGCCGCGTCGTGGCCACAAAATTGTAAACTTTAGGTAGGTACGTCAGTACTAAGAAAACAATCTTGATGGGTCACTTGTCTTGATAAAAACCTGTGCTTACGTTTAGTGATATTGAGTATATATTATAAAAAAAGCCAGGTAAGTAAGTATTTTTGAAAACAATTTATAGGTAGGCAGACCAATTACGATTATTATCTAAATATTATAAATGCGAAAGTTTGGATATTTGGATGGACGGATGAATGGATGTATGTTACTCAATCACGCCAGAACGGCTGAAGGGATCTGGATGATATTTTGCTCAGAGATAGGCTATAGTCTGGATTTTTTTTTTAAAAAAAAAAACGTTACCCCACACTAGGATTTTCTCCTGTAACGTGGAGGCAGTTTACAAACATCCAGACCCGGAACAATTATTTGTAGACCATACAAATACTTGTTCGATTGATTCGAACCCGCGGCTCCCAGTACAACAATTCATTGCTAAGCCACTGCGCCACGGAGCTGCCAAATATCATATATGATACCGTTTATTCAGGTATTTCGTTGCCGTGGGATAATTATCGAGTTACACACGTTCGAAGCCGAACTCTTGAGTGATTGCTGCATGACCACTCGGGGAAAACTAAACATAATAAAATAAGCAATCTATATTAGGTATATAGAGCCACGGAGGTATACCTAATAATTTCGCGGTTTCACCCGCGTTATCACGTGTCCGAGATGCGTGGCATGACATGACACCTAGTTCAAGCATTTTATAATTGCAATCAAATATTTTATTTGATTGTAATGTATGGAAAAATTGTCATGATTAATGGAGTACTTTTATTTTATCTGTCGGCATATTATGCGCGGTTTTTTCCAGTTTTAAAGAAAAACGTACACGATACATGAAAAGTGTGTAGGCAAGAAATGATTCTTGATAAATTTGCTATCAACCTCTTATAGGTACTTATTAATCAATTAAATTTAAACTTTCAAAATACCATAGCAACGTGAAATGAAAGAGTTCAGAAATAAAGATGTAACTAATCATTGCTACGCTCACCCGGGAGATAGATAAAAGTACTCAATTAATTTTGAATTTATTTTAGCTACTAGCTGTACCCCGCGACTTCGTCCGCGTTTAGTTTAGGGCATTAATTTTGTTGCAAAGACACCTAATAATTTTTCTAAAATTTAAGCAGGCTAAGTTACTTCTTATAACATGAGCTATCTACTAGTGAAAGTCCCGTCAAAGTCGGTCCAGCCGTTTTGGAAATTAACCGCAACAAACAGACTGACAGACATACAAAAATGTTAAAAATTGTGGTTATAAGTACCGTATACAGTTTCATACGCAATTAGTAAAAAGCTGTTATTTTGACATTACAAACAGACACTTCAATTTTATTTATTTGTGTAGATATAGATAACGATTGAACTAACGACTAACCTAACCTCGCTCATAGAAGCTTTCAATACTGGCTTCTCAGTTCGCACCGGGCTAGGGGTTATGCGTTGTTTGCGCGTCAAGCCAAGTAGGTATTGAATTATTTTAATTTTACATTATCTCTTAAACTATGTACTATATAAACATGGTATAAAGAACGAAGTTTATCTTCATAAAATTGTCTTGATAATGAAGTAACTTTGGTTCGTAAGGTGCCTAATAATTAAATTTTCATTTTTTTGTCACAAAATGCCTAATTGTGGCTTATATATAAGAAATAGACATATGTTATCGCGGACTTTTTTTAGACGGAGTAAAGATCTATATTTTTCTAGAACATTGTATTTACGTATCCCGAACCATAACAGCGCTTTTTCTTCTGACTTCCTTAACAAATATAGGCTAGCTGAGATATATAGCCTAATGCTGTATAGCCTATATTATTCAACATGAATCTGGCTATAATATCCAAAAAAAGATTTTTCAAATCTGACTGGTAGTTCCAGAGATTAGCACGCAAAAACCCTCTTCTGCTTTATTATATTAGTATAGATGTTGCATCGTGTTCGTGTAACTTCGTTTTCATTCTAACGGTTCGGAACACCGTACGAACAAGACATGCGTGAATACTAGTGTCGATATGCTCATCACTGATACTATCTCTGTCGGGCACGATGCCAGGTGAGACAGCGTGCTTTTTGGCCGCGCCCACCAGCGAGTTCGAGCCCGCGACTTGTGCCACCTTAAACCAGGGTGGTACCATGACCTCACAGAATACCAGTGTAAGGCTGGTTTCACAGCGGTACGGGTAGCCCGTAATGCGGGAGACCCCTACGGGTAGCGCCCGCAATGCTCTGAAACGAGTATTTAGTACGATACGGGAGCTAGCGGAAGATAGTCGCAAATGAAAGTGAATGCAAACGTATTAAAATTTCTGGGTAGGTATTTATTTAATTTGTGAGAGATTCTTCTTAATTGTTTTGCGGGCAATGTGTGATGCTAATTATTGTTTTACTTACATAAATATTGGATCAAACGCAAAAATCCTGATTCTAATATATTAAAGGCAAGTGCTCTGTTCAGAAATCTACAAAATGAAAACATGCATATTCTGGCAGCTAGAGCATTGCCTGGGACTGACCGCTGTTCAATATGTGATCATTGGCGATAGTGCGTCTTTGTTCTTATAATTTATATTTGAAGCAGGGTTTATTTTGTACTGCATCTATGACAAATCCCGTGTCAATTAATCGACTCATCTCGATTGTACTCACTGAGCGCAGGCGCTCCGCGTCGCTGTGAAACGATGAATGAGCAGCGGTGCGCTCGCGTCTGCATGTACGGGGGTCCGGGTGCGGGACGCGGGTGGTGTTGTACAGGCTCTACGCGGAGCGAGTCCCGTACGGAACAATCTGCGTCGCTGTGAAACGATGTTATAGCGCCTCACGTCTGTCTCCGCTCCGGAATTAAATGTATATATATCAGACTACCCCAGGAGTGTACCAACACCCCTGGAGAATCCCTCGCTGAGCATCCACGACCAAGCGACTCCACTCCTGAGCGTGGGTGCTTAGGCTGCCCCGCGTATTCGGGGGGGGGGGGGGGGGACGACATTCCGCTCGCGACTAAAACTGCTCTGAACAAGCGGAGCAATAAGACCAAGGTGACCCCTGTCACGCTATCCTTGAATTTTTGCAACATCAGACTTCATTCCTACCCTAAAGCCATCAAGCCAAGACGGCCAAGTGTGCCCCATGCCAGATGTGCGGTTTACGCAGCGCTCGGTTCGCAAAGCACTTCTCTCCCTGGACGTTAGCATGTCGAGTGGGCCTGAGGGAGTCCCTCCCATTGTGCTGAAGACGTGTGCTCCGGAGTTGACATCAGTTTTAACGCGTCTTTTTCGGTACTCCTAAACCCAAGACGTAGTCCCGAATTCATGGAAGACAGCTTTGGTCCACCCGATCCCTAAAAAAGGCGACCGCTCAGACCCGTCTAACGGACCTATCGCTATCACCTTGTTCTCCAAACTAATGGAATCCATTATAAACTGCCAGGTCAACTGCTTTGTCGTATCTCCTCAGCTTTAAGGCACTCCCCTTGCTGCCTCAGCTAGCATCGGAATCCTCGGCGTCGACATATCGAATAGCGTGCAGTTTCGTCGTCACTTGGGAGGGAAGGCCAAATTTGCCTCTAAAAAGATTGACGTACCCAGCAGAGCGACACAGTATTTCATGCCAGCACATCGCTTGCAAAGTACAAATTCGGACTCACATGGAAACTGTTCTCCTTCCACTTGGCCGCATCCAGCGCAGAGCGATTCGAATCGTCGACAACCGAGTTCTTTCTGATGGGCTTGATTCACTGGCGCTGCGTAGGGATGTTGCATACCTTTGCATTTTCTATCGAATCTACCACGGCGAGTGCTCTGAGGAATTGTTCGGATTAATTCCAGCCGCCAAATTTCACGAAGGCACATCCCGACAAAATTCACGATACCATCCTCATCATCTGGATGCTAGGCGATCCACCACTGTGCGTTTGAGTTTTCGTCCTCGAACAATTTCTCTGTGGAATTGTTTACCACCGTAGATTTTTCCGGACCGATAAAACTTAGGGACCTTCAAGAAAAAAGCAGCTTTCTCCTTTCTAAAAGGCCGGCAACGCACCTGCAATTCCCCTAGTGTTGCAGTTGCTCATGGGCGGCGGTAGTCACCTCTTCTAAAAAAAACTGATTATGGCTCAACCCAGGATCGAACCTGGGAACTCATGATCAGCAATTGCTCTTACAACTGCAAGACCAAATAGACAGTCAGAAAATTAAAAAAGGCTGTTATATAATAGCTACTTTCTAGCTTCAAGCTCAAAACTTTTTATTAACATTAATTAAATGAATAGATTATCTAATGCAATATTTATATAAGTAGCGCTAGTTCTAAAGAATATATCATCTATTAGTGCAGAAAGATTCATCATAATCATCTTGTCCACCATGGGTCTTTCCCATGGTAGAAAGAATCTGCTATAATGGCTATGTTGGGTAGGTGTGAAAGTGATTGATGTTCCAGACTATTGGGAGTACTTCATAGCCTGGCTTTTAGCTAATCTGGAAACCTACAAGTTCAACCGTAAGACATGCCCCATATAAAATATTACTTTATATGAGGCTATGTATGTTAGTTTTAAGACTTGATTGAATTATTTTTGCTTTTTATAGTGGTCTCTTTGTGTTGAACAAATAAATGTTTTCTTTTTTCTTTCTTATAGCTGCCTTGCACCACCTTCAATAGTGCTTCCTTTATTAGGTTTGATATTCTACATCTGGCAAATTATATGAGATGGCTAAACTATCATCTATCAGGAGCTATGTACACTCCGACTGTAGACTCGGAAGTTAAAAGCACTTAAGTCAAATCTTTTTGCGAGCAAAAATTTTATAGGCGAGGGTTATATTCGATTGATGTGAAAAAAATGTAGTACGGTTTTTATTTTTATTGTTTTTTATTACATAATCACGAACTAGTTACACGTTAAATTTGGTATATTTTAAACTTATTTATTATTATCTGAAATATGTGACTTAAGTTTTTATGAGCGCAAAGAAATCGCAACTTAAATGTTTATTACTGTACCATACAACTATGTAGCTTATTAATGTTTAAGAATATAAAAATGAACTATCAATAATATTTAATAATTATAATAATGCTTATTAGTTAAGCTGTAATAATAAACTAAAAGCTACTTTCTTCAGAATTTGATATATCTGGATCAACGTCAGTTGTGTCTGCAGCAGTTATTAAATACTGGTAAAAATTATGGAATCATTCCGGTATTAAATGTAAAAGTGATATTATGTCACGTTTTTTTTTCAATGCTTATTGGTACCGACTTTGCAGTAATCTGCATGAAATTAAATTCCTTTTCTCGTCGCGTGTTCCGTTTGAAATTAATGGTATTGAAACATTCATCTCTTGACAGACATTTTTTGTATTTTATGACGCCATACTCAGATTCGTAACACAGCCACTTCACATCATGCCATTTGAAAATATTTCCATCATCGTCTTTTTTTCGGGCTACTAACGGCCCTTTCAATAATACGGCGAAGTCAAAAAAATCAGCTTGCCGCAAATTATTTAAATACGTAATTTTTTTGCTACTCGACTTGACTAATTGCATCCAATCATGTGGGTGATAAATTTCAATTTCAGTTTTTTTCTTCTTTTTTTTTTCTATAATTGCATGGTCCAAGTCCACCTCCACATGTGTATGACCAGGTACCATAAATTTATGATTTATTAACTTAATAGAGGGTTTTACTGACAACAAGTAGGTAAACATTGCAGCCACATGGATGTTCTTACTTTGTCCTCCGCAAGTATCAGAGTACAAAATTACTTCTGAAACTTCTTCAGGAAGTTCTTTTAAAGTCCAATATAAAAACAAACAAGAGACTATTTGATTAGCTTCTCGATCCGAAATTCCCTCATGTCACATGTGGTGCGTTGATATTCCAGTTCCGTTGTCATGTATCGTAAGATTAAAGGTCCAAAGTTGTCTTTTGTAAAAGGCTACAGATAATTGCAAAGCTGGGGTTGGCAAGCATTGTTGTAGGTCAAAAGACAGACACTTGATTTTTTTATCTGTAACTGCGGTATTTTTGTCAAATTTCTTCTCGTTGTAAGCCATATCAGCTGCTAGCAAGTGTGCGTCACAAGAGCAGATTTTTTCGTCTCGTCCGTAGCAATGTTTAATTTCATTTTAAACAGGTCGCAAGTGTGACGTGCCCACTTTCGGTTTTTTGAAACTTAAATTTAATTTGTGGAATTCTCTACAGTAAATCTTGTCACTTACAGGATTTTCATGTGACGTTGAATAAAGAGATAATTTTTGATATTGTCAAATGCGATGGTAAATATTTCTGGGTGCTTTTGCGTCTAGTGAAGTGGCTTTCATAAAGCGGAAACGAATTGATATGATTAATCCCCTCTTCAATTTTTTGTTCAGAATGTTTGTTCGGTGGTGTATTCTTCCCACGTTTGTCTGTTTTTATAATTCCACATGAGCTGCTATGTTTCTTCAACCCAATTAGTTTAACAAAATTATCACTTATTGATAGGGTTTTTAAAAAAAACCCTTGACACACCGATATTTTTTTTCACTATTGACATTGAAATGATACTTGTAAGTGTACTGTCTACATTTTTGTTTGTCAGGATCTTCGACTCGAAGACATTCAGTTTTTTTCTCTTGAATAGTGATCAAAGATGAAATGAATGCTGCCCTTAAATCGTAAGACCCAAGATTCCAAACCTCCTTGTGTATCAAAGCGCGCTGCTCATCACTTATTATCTGTCGGCACTTATTCCGACAGTTAGGTAATTCCTTTATTTGACGTTTTCCAATAGTTTTCCCAGAAGCTGTCACATAAAATTGGCCAAGATTTCTTTTTAATTTGTTTTCTTGCTTCTTTTTTCTACAGGACACTGGTTGGTTTTATTGTAGCAATGAAATATCCCCAATTTTTTCAGGTGTCTCATTGTCTGGCATTATATGTATACCCACTGATGCATTAGGAACAGCAATTTCCATTTCTTTATGTTGTGTAAGTAAGCTAGAACTGCCTGGAGAGTAGTTAGGATCGGCCACAGAATCGTCACTAGAAAAGTCACTTACTGTTTCATCTAAAGTAGTTTGTTTTTGGGTTCCAGATGTACTTGGTTGTGGATTACTGAATGGGTCTTCGTCACCTGTAAAAAACAACAATAATAAAAACTGATAACAGATTGGAAATTGTGATGTTTCTAAATATAAAAAAACTTTCTAAAGACATGTGTTTATCTCAACTAAAACTATTAACCAGTTTTGCATATTTACCCATTGTAATAAAATGATAACGTTCACATCAAAAAACTTTTACCCCGACACAAATTACTGGGATAAGAGCAGGAAAAAGAAGTTCACAACATACCAGTATTCTCATTCATTGCTGCACTGTCATTATTTATGGCGAGATTCACCAATTTTCTGGCCCTTGAATCCATTGCGACATAGTTAATTTAACGTACACCACCACCATCACACAGAAACAAATAACAACTAATAAAGAAATGTGTATTTCTTTTGACTTAACTAAAATTGACTACTTTATGAGACCCTTAAAAAAGAGGGTAGGTACTTGACAATATTATAAAGAACAAAAACGGACCATTGTAAAAAACCACCTAAGTCAGCCAGCTTGCAGTATAAAAAAACATAAGTTATATGATACAGTCGGCTGTTGCGTCTAAATTAAGCGTCGGAGACTTATGTGCTTCTTCCAGTCGACGGATGATACAAAAACACGATTGCTGTGACTTTTTAGAATTTAGTGCAAAAATTGACTTAAGTACTTTTGGCCGCCGTGTCTAGATATATAGGCGGAGTTAATGCCTGTGGCATTATTTACCAGTCTACCTTAGAGTAGTGCAGGGATAAAAGAGGTAGGTAGTGTAAATTATCTGTAGCATCTTCTTAAACATACGATATTCATAATTTTAAAATTTATGGTAAGTATATACCTAGGAGATGATTCTGCAAGAGGATGCAATAACATTGTCATTTCTGCTAACTTATTAAAAGCTGCACCAGCTTCAGTAAAAATTTCCCCAACCTGAAATTGATGTAAATATACATATAGTCTTAATATCATTTTTTGCTGCATGTTTTAAATGAATGTCTTCCTTGTTGACATTATTTATATTTATTTTTTAACATATTGTGAATAGCATATAACTAAATATACTGCTCCTATTGTGAGCTTATATATTATGATGAAAAATATTATTTTGAATATACACTAGACCCCCGGTAATCCAGCCCTTGTATAATCCGGTACCCCCTGTAATCTGACATGGTCTATTACTTATTATTAGATATTTTTTGACAATCTTCGCAAATGCATGATTGAACAAGTTATAACTTGTACACACCACCACTATTGTGCTCGATGTGTAGGATATTGTTTTGATTCTGATTGATAAGTTTGAATTTGACTACATACATGTGATGAAGATAGCAGTGCGGTCTTCAGAGTACACACATATATATATATATATAACACAGAATCTTATCATTGGATCTGGAATTTGTTGGATTACAAGGTACTCTTTTATAAAAAAAAAATCGGATAAAGGGGGTCTTAGGCAGTAATCTATAATCCGACAAATTCGATAGTCCAACACTGCCTTGCAAAATGTTTGTCGGATTACCGGGGTTCCACTGTATATACAATTCTACATATGCCCTTTTGGGCACTATGAGGTATTCTATCTTATTTCTTTCTTTGTGCAGTTAACTACAGGAACAACTTGATTGCTGAAGCCCAAAGGAATCCCATCCAACAGGGATATTTAATGTAAAAAAAATATATAGCTTAACATTTTTTTTTTTACATTAAATATCCCTAATTTAACACATTTTTCATTGAATGACTTTGGAATTCTATCAAGAGGAGCGGTAATATAAAGATGTCAAGAAGATTGGTAATGAAAATATAATTTGATTTACAATTACGCCAAATAAAATGAAGCTCGACATAAACGACTATAAATAAACACATGCAATACCTTTGCTGCAGAATTATTCATTATTGCTGCGGTAATTAAAAACTAGAACGTAGTGATTAAACACTACTGATCAAACAAATACGTTTCTGATTAAACCAGATTAAGCACATAAATAATAACTTCAATAACTTTACAACAGTAAACAGTCCTCTACTCTACCTCTATCCTTATATAAATAATTATTAATTATAAAGATTTTAGTTTTTTAGTACTCTTTGTTGATAGGTATGTGCAGGTATGTGTGTGGGTTCCAGTAATATATTACTATTAGTATTAGTCTATCTATGTCACAGAACACATGTACCCTGACGGGATCTATGTGTGGGTTGTTATTGTTTCGGTCACAGGTTTCGGACATAGATAAATTATAAGTAGCAAGCTAGTTTCGGATTATACAAAGGTACTCTGTGCTCTGTGGTTATTATCATAGACTCAGAATGTACTGGCGTAAAGTCTATGGTTATTGTTAAGATTTCCTCAGTGATGGGTCGACTCGATAAACTAATTTGCTTTAACTCGAATTGCATTCAACTCGAACTAACTAGAGTCAGATAATCACTAACTTATGTTCGGGCTGGCGGTAATGGAACGAAATATATGAGCAAGCGAGAGCACAATTCGTTCATCGTGCATTATATGCATATAATACCAATAAATTGCTTTAGAATAATTTTTGATAGTTAAATTTTAAAATAACATAATAAGTACACTATGTTATAAAGTCACACTGACGTTATTTTGGAGAAGATTGTCTATACAACTAGTTTTGTTATTAAATATTAACTTACTATATCTAAGACTGTTACGGCCTACAGCTGCCACTGCAAATATCGTCTTGGCTGGGGCCCATAGCAGCTCCTTCGAAGGACAGACGCAGGTCGGGCCCAATGGCCATATGGAAGAATTCCTATAATACTAAGCTATATGGGAGAAGGCTAGGGAAATATAGTACCTACCTGTTTCCGACTCTTAGATCGCCCCAAGGCTCGGTGAGGCCGTAAGTGGGTGTGAGGTGCATGGCAAGTAGTGTTTAGTGATGTGTAAATGTCTGAGACCTGGACCAGCTTAGGCGACCAGCAGCGGCCGAGTTCCAGGCTGCCCCACAATGCTGAATCGCTCCAGCAGGCTCCACCGCTGGACCATTTCTTTCTTCATTGTCACTATTTCAGTCTATTAGCTTCATTGTACATTTAATTAACTTAAACTCGCCTAATTCCACATTCATCGTAGAATCGAACACGTGATACCCGACACAATTCCGCATCACCCGAACAAGTTAAATATTGCAAAATTCACATATCCACGTAGCGAAGTAACACGCACTAAAGAACTATCTGGACCCTACACGGTCGCGTGAACTTCGGCAGCGATAATTGAGATACGCGGATTCACCGCATCGCGGCCAGCGAACTACTCTTCTTCGACCACGCGTTGTGCCACTGCAAGCCGCACACGGCCGCCCCACCTGGCGGCGTTTTGTTCACCTATATACCATCGTGTGAAGCGCCAGCTCGAACGCAATTGGATGGCGTTCAAAAATGACCAAATTTGGGCATAAGCAAATACATAAGTATGTTTTTTTTATTTCACTCTTACTAAGCTTAATAATAGTTGAGTTGTGCGATAGCATCGTATAAGTCTGAGATCAACATGGAGTTGGATGTAACATACGAGTATATAAATAATTTTTAACAAATTGTCTCAGTTTCTTCCTGCCAATGGAATCTCAAGGCTAGGTGCCTTGAGATTCCATCGCCTGAAACATACAAACGAAGTTAGTATTAAACATCACGCACCATTAGCAGCGAAACGAGTAGATGAACGAAATCGCGTCGCCAAGATCTTTAAAAGTTTGTGAATGTTTGGAAATAAGGCCTGGTTGCATTCTCCGAGAGCTTCAATAGCACATGTTGGTCGATCTTGTTCAGATTATTCCAGCCATTTTATCCGCCACACGTCTAATTCAGCTTTTATAAAGTGCCATTCCAAATACTTTTTATAGAGCTCAAAGTAGTTTTCTTGATAATTTTGATTAATTTGTTCTTTGCAACACACAGACGGAATTAAAATGTTGAGAGATGATAATGTGGCTTTATGATTTTGGAATCTCGACTGAAGCTGATCAATGAAATCATTCAAAAGTGGAACCATTATAGTAATTATAAAATAAGTTTCAGGATATTTTGTGTTGTAGTTTGCGCTATGCTCTTGGCGTGACGTTATTCGCAGAATTTTTATTTCCTCGTTTACAGTACTGAGTGAATTCTGTGCATTCTTGAAAAGTTCAGAAAATTTTGAATCAATATTATGGCGAACATCTTCAATAGTCTTTATAATTAAATCGACATGTTGTAAAGCTGCTGCTAAATCGCAAAGGGGAGATTGTAGTATTTTGCATAGTGTCAGTGTGTACGGGGACAACATTCCTAAGCAACATAAGCTTATAACAAAATCACTTGAAATGACTGATCTCAGAAAAGAATTAGCCTTTGACGATGTTTCAGAATCCATGTCAGTGCTTAAGTCGTCTAGTTTATCAACAATAGCTTTATAAATATCTTTAAATCGTAACAACCCATCATGATTTTCTATCCAGCGGGTCTCACACATTGCCGTAGGGGTTTTCCATTTTTTTCGATATTATCTTTTAAGCACTTGGTTCGTTTTGCCAAGGACTTGATAAACTTTCCAACCAATTATATATCCCAATCTAGGGAGTTCAGGGGAGAAAAGTCACCGTCTCAATGCTGGAGTAACAAGGTCCGTAGCCTTGTACTGTGCGCCTGTATGGGCCAAAAGCTGGTTATCCGACACTGCACAACTAAAATCTATAGTGTCCAATGGAGGGTGCCATACGGATACGTCGAGGATCACGTATGATAATATCCTTTGAGACCTGACTCGATTTCCACCTTCTCCGCAGAGCGTGCGATTTGTAGCGGGCCAGAATAGATTCTCCAGGCGGTTAAGCAGCAGGAACCACTTAACGCAATCGCAACGTTGCGCGCTCGTCTTCATTTCAGCTCGACGTCACTGACGTACTTCGAAGCCTGGATGCATCGACGAGCAGAAAGACTCACCTATAGACTTACAAATATAATTATCGGACGCAGGTACTTTGTTGATTATCTGTGGAAAAATCGGCCGCGAAGCGACGAAGACTGGTGTATACATTTTTATTTTCTAATGTGCGAAATTTATGCAAAACCATGCGAGTGTGGAGTCATTTCTTATTACGTTGTGTTTTCTCGATGCGGTGTCGTGCGCGTATCGTGGATTAAGTCTAGCGCTAGTAATAAAGTATTTTAGATAACTAAAAACAATTTCTTTGTTTCAGATAGCACAAGGGATCTGTGACAGAAAACATCTGACCGCCGAGCTTCAGCACGTCGAGCAAGTACTGCAAGACAACAAGCTTCGGGTCCCGCGCCTACGTCACAGTGACCGAGTGAAGCCAGCCACAGTCGAGCGTGTGCCTGTTGTACTACCTTATGTGAGAGGAGTCACAGACAAGGTTGGCTACATCTTGAAGCGAGCTTCTATTAAAACATACTTCAAGCCGCTGAAGAAGATTGATCAATTTTTACCATCCGTCAAGTGTCATATCCTTCTACAAGATGCAGGAGTGTACAAGCTGGATTGTGAATGTGGTCTCTCGTACATAGGACAAACAATAAGATCTATAAAAACTCGCGTTAAAGAACATATAGCTGACGTGAAGCACCGACGTATCGGGAAGTCTGCAGTTTGTGAACATGTTCAAGATCGTCCCCGCCATTACATTAGATTTGATAGACCACAAATCTTCGCAAGAGAATACCGATTTCTACCAAGGATGATTCGCGAAGCTATTGAAATTAAAAAACATCCTAATTTAAATAGAGAAGATGGACGGGTGCTGCCACCTGCTTGGGATCCCATAATTAATAAAATTAAATCCAAACCCAAGTATACCACTGCTAGACTTCAAGATACTGTAAGCTCATTCTGCGTAAATCGAACCAAAAATTAATATTAAAAAACTGAAGGTAGCCGGGCTAACTATGACATCAGGACGTCAAACACCTCAGTCCCCCGTGACCACGGGTGCTGAAAAGCACATGAAACGCCGGGAATATAAAATAAGTTAATATACGCGATAAAATCCGTAAAATTAGTTTTATTTAAATAAAAACATTTTTTTTTAATTTACCGATTTCCCTTCATACTTTTCCAGGCTTAGGACTGACATACGTAGTTGAATTTATTAAGTAAAAATTAGATTCTTAGGTTGGCGTATTTAGAAATCAGTGGCTATGTACAGTGATTTTTTGATTATTATTTTCAGCATCTCATAAATATATTCATATCGTTTTTTAGATATACTTATTTTTATTTAAATATCACAGTTGCAAATTATGAATAGTAGTAGAGAGACTTTAAGCCCTATGCACTAGTCATAGAGTTATCAATTTACCTTTTTGTGCCGACGTATGACAGTTTATTATGATTAAACAACTCACTCTCTTGTATTACTGAACATTGGCTAAAAGATTATAATTTCATGTTTAATTTCAGAAATCACCAGATGGTCGGTTTCTTCAATAGAGAAAAAAGTTTACGTGGTGGCTCCTTAATATTGGCAGATAAATCATTATTATATAAAGAACGTAAGGATATAGTGAGCCTCTCTGTTGAGCGAACTGTAGGTAAATGGCTTGTGTCGAGCTCGAGCACCTCACTGTTGTAAGTGTTTACAGACCGCTATGTGCTACTTATGACTATTTTGAAAGGGTTGTGGAAGAAGTTTTGCTCAAACTTAGTAAACAGAACAAGTCTGTGGCAATATGTGGAGACATTAACATCAATCATATTGCAAATTATATATATAAAAATATTATATAGGTATGTACCTATATATATATGTATATATTATAATAGGCTGAAATGGAATTATTCCTTTGCCTATATCCAATTCATATTTAAAAAAAAAAACGAAATGTCATGTTCTGATTTGCTCTATGGTCCAAACTAAATGTACCAGAAACGTCCGTTACTGTATAGGACAGTTATTATACTCTTTGGACGTCCGTCTGAACCGGTCTGAACGCAAAGAGTATTTTTTTTTTTGGAGTTTATGGCCTGGCATCTAGACCTTTAGGCCAAACGCAAAGAGTATAGTAATATATAAGGAAGGCGTAGTGTTTCTGTCAGTAATATATAATGTACTCTGTGAGTGTTTCTATATAGTTTGTGGGTAGTTTTTTTTGGCGGGAACTTCAAACGAGGCTGT